ATCCCATCCCCAACACAAAGCTTTATACTGCCGCTCTTCGCATGTCCGTCCCACAGCGAAAATCAGCAAACCGAGAAAATCGCGTTTTAAGATTGCTTAGTACCATTGCTTCTATGTGATGGGACAACCAATTTGACTGTCTTTCCAAAGTTTTTAAGTTCATTCAGTATTATGAAAATATGGGTGATTAGCTACCATTTGCATTGAAAAACTCAGTTTTGACTATGGGACCGACATGCGAAGAGCGGCAGTATAGGAATTGAAAAAATAAAATCAATTTTGTAAAAAATTGACTTATACCTCTATGTCATTCACAGTTTCATTTATGTTTATACCCGTAACATTTAAAACCGGTTCATACATCTATTATAATGGTTTTTTTTTCACTCAACGAAGCCAGCTTATTTCGGCAATTACATCGTTAATTTAATTGATGATTGACCGACAAGATGACAATACATTTTGATTATTATTTATCGTGTGTTGCTATTTTTAGGAGAACCAACTGCTTCATCTTCTGCGGCTGGGGCCTTCAACTTTGCGTTGTTTGAGCATTTCCACAGTTCTAAACCTGTACAATTATTGCATTCGTATATTGCGTGGATTTGAAACATAAAATAAACAAGAATAGCCGAATTTGGTATGCCACCTCCCCAAACTTCAAAGCAGACCAAGATCCTTAGGACGCTCTTAAACAGTCCTCCACGGACTCTTTCCACGGACTCTTTCCACCTGACTGGTCATCATGCAGCGGATGAGCAGAGAACGTTCATCCTGGAAAGGTTCAGAGACACCTGCCAGATCAACAGATCCTTACACGGCTGTTCAATCTCAATCAGCGATTGGAAACATACGTTTTTAGAAATTTCTCTTTCATCTGAGTAGAAGTTACTCTCCCTCCCTCTGAGTAAGATTGAACGACCGTGTAGGGATGTAGCACGTTAACATAGGTTAACATAGGTCAATTTGGTGCCAACATTTCATTAGGGACAAACTGCTTTTATAAACAATGACATCAAACGCCGATTTCTCGCAAATTAAAGCGCGATCCTGCAAATTAACAATGCCAACTGCTGGAGGAATCAGTTCTTTACCAGATGGTGTCGTTACTGTGCACGTGTGAGCTTTTATTCGCCGGAAATCGATAGCCAATGTTTGCGAAAGCATTTTTGCCCTTTTGAAATGTTGACACCGAATTATAGTTTTTTTTTAATTCAAATTAAATAGGCCTCCAAGGGGGCATTGGTTAGGTTAGGTTCCCAAGAAACAATTCAGTAACCATTTGGCATCCACTCTGATTTATAATGGTTTTATAACAACAATGAACAATCCATTTAGTTTAAATACTGCATTTCAAAGTGTAAAACATTCCTGCTAGGTAATTCAGCTTTTTGCTGTTTTAAAAACCTTTTATAGTCTGGCAAGAAAGTCAAAAACTTTCTTGTTTTAAAAATAAATTTAAAACAGTTCTCAATCCCTAAAACTGTTCTATAATTCAAGCATAAACGTCATTTGCAATTGTTTATTGACGTCTTGATAAAATACTTTATAAACATGTTCTATAATTATAAAAGCAACCATAAAACCATTAGGTTTTGCATTAGAGCAAAATGGATTTATTGTTGCTGTTTAGGCTTTTTAAAGTGCCTCATAACCTCTCCAATTACTCTGTTTACAAATTGAGCTTAAAAGATGGTTCCTCATAGTTAATAAAAGCCAAATTTATGACAAGGAAATCTCGAAGGATAGACGATTTCAGCAAAATTTACTTCTTTAGAAGAACTAGCACATCATCAACGACTGACCATCTGGTGGAGAAGAGTAAAGTGAGCGTGGGAAGTTAAAAACATACCAGCCTTCTCCAGATCTTGCGAATAGATGACAACCGACAGCAAACCACTGAATCTGTTAGTTAGCGGAGATTAGCTGGTTTCCGATCCATAGCAGCGATTTTATTCGGCGAAAGAATCCACTCTTCGAAAATTCCATTCAAGCGTACATCCCTGCATCGTTGGATGGTGCACTTCTGAAACCATCCGGAAGAATGCGCTTCCAGCTGTTTGAAATGCGAAATGTTGTAAAACAGTATCGCAAACTATCTGAGTAACTGCTCACAAACCATCGGGAGAAAACCGCCTGGCAGATGGATCGCACAGCGTAACTATCGAAAGATAAACAAACTTTGACGTTTAACTTTTTGCAGGCAACTTTGCCTCCACAAATGCTGCCATAAATCTGAACGGGTTAGGATCAAGCAACATGGCTTTAGATAAATACAATTTAACCTGCAAGTTTTCTTCATAAAAGCCACTTTAAAACCTTATGAATTTCTTTAAATTTGTCGAACCTCTTAACGGAATCCCTTTATGAAGAGCTTTGAGTGGGTCGGTTTATTTCCTTTAAATTCCGTTATAATTGCTTATCTTTTGACGGATACGCGTATTTCGTCTACTACTTGCAGACATAAGGGGAAGCAGACCGCTCCGAAAAAAAAAATTACGTTTTGATTTTTCTAAAAATATTGAAAAAAAGTATCAAAAATCTAAAAAAATCACATTTTTTCTAATTTTTTAAAGAAAATTCACGTGCAAAAACATGTTTTATAAGTCATTATGGCATAAAGTTGGACTCAAAAAACCACAAAACATCAACTTTTCGGTTTTTCTGAGAGTCCAATTTTTTTTCATGATGGGATAGAAAAAAATTTTTTGCATGTAATTTTTGACAAAAATCTAAGGAAGAAACTGATTTTCTTGGATTTTTGATAATTTTTCCCAATATTTTTAGAAAAATAAAAACGTACCGAAAATATTTTTTTATTTTTGGGCCGGTGAGCTTCCCCTTAATCAGTGCCAAGTACTCAACACCACTTGGAACTAACAAAGATCGTCACTTATGAATTTGTTAAGGATTTTTTGAAAGCAAAATAACTTTTTCACAAATGACCCATGCAAATCAACTTTTATGCCACCGCTATGATACAATTAGTTTGCTTGTTTCGATTTTCAATCTATATTTCCTTGGATATAACTATATTTTGGAAAATTTAGCCATGAGCAAACATTTAAATGCGAAAATCATTAAAAAAAATCTCGGCCAAGCTCGATCGATTTTTTTTTTTTAATGTAAAATAATTAGTCGAATCGAAGTTTTGCGAGGGTGGAATAATTTTTTTCGATATTTTCACGTACATTTCACATAACATTTAATAAGGCACATAAAACTAGGCCACTTAAAGAGAACTATTGTAATAAATTTGGATATTCAATAAGGTTTTTATATCATCAGTTTCTATTTTAATTATTTTGATCATAAATCCTTTTCTATATTGATTGATGCTTTCGTAGTGGATTTAGCAAGCGGCTAGAGGAAATGGCTTGGAAAGGGTTTTTAGTGTTGCTAAATAGTTTTTATTGTAGCTTTCAAATGGTTCTCAATGCGTTCGTTATACAACCTTTTGCAGTAAATCAATCTTGAAGAGCTTCGAGAATACACCCTTCAGAACCTTCTCCAGGGTGGGCCAATTATTCATATTTTTGTCTTAATGAGGTTTTGGTGGATGTATTAATGACAAAATAGCCTTGACCAAGGTTTTATGATTGTTGTTTTATAGTTGCTTTGTAGTATTTCATAAAACCTGAAATGTTACTTGGGTTATCTTTATTAAAGAGACTTCAAGCCATAGGGTGATCATCTCTTCAAGGGGCAATAATGTAAACTTGTGCAAAACGGAAACTTGAAACTAAATTTTTCTAGATAGAGCTGAAATTAGGGCCTAACAGCTTTTGTAAACAATGACTTCTCTCGATGATTTCTCGAAAGACATGACTCTCCCTGTCAAATCAACATTACCATCGAATAGGGGAAGATTTCCTCTACCCGATGGATATGTTGGTTTGTGTAGGCGTGCCTTGAGTTGCTAGAAATCAATGTGAGAATTCATTGTTTACAAAAGCTGTTACGCCCTGATTCCAGCTCTATCTAGATTTACCTATTTACCAAAAGTGAAGAGCCTTTCAGGCTAAATCGATTATAATGTAACAACAAATGTAACATCATAATCAGTGGGAATAAAAAGATATTCTAGAAGTATGTAAAAAAATGCCAAGGTCGATGATATTTCTTGTGTTACTTCTGCTGACACACGGTCACCCGATAGCTTGCTCAGATAGCTTAGTAAGGCACGGTATTACCAAACCGGAGGCGGCAGGTCTACACTTCTGGGTATGAAATTTTCTCGATTTCCCTGAGCATTGCTTATATTGCAGTTAATTATAATGGAAGTGCATTTAGAACAGTAAGTTTAGCGCCGACAAAACGCTCGCTACAGAAGCGTAAAAAAGCTTAGAAGAAGGAACTGCTATGCGAGAAGTACCGGCTTAGAAAGCTGTCAATTAACAATTCTAAAAATGCTCATAGAACATTAAGTAGAGATCAGGCGTAAAGGAGCCTCCCTTAGCTCAGTCGGTAAAGTCGCATATTCAAAGCAAGACCATGCTGGAGATGGCTGTGTTCGATTCCCAGTCCGGTCTAGGAATTTTTCGGATTGGAAAATTTCTCGACTTCCCTGGGCATAGGGTATGATTGTACTTGCCACACAATTAAACGAATGCAAAAATAGTACAGGCATCGAAAGCTTTCAATTAATAACTGTAGAAGTGCATCTAGAACTCTAAGCAATAAGCTAATATGCGATAAGCAATAAGCTTGAAATGCGAAGAAAAGGAGGAATAAGAAGAAGAAATATCGCTTCAATCTCACTTGTTTGCAGTTCATTGCGTCAATATATGTCTATATCACCATTTACGTCAATCCATTGAATCTATTGATCAACCCGTAAGTACCTACACCCCACTGAGGGAATAGTTTCTTCACAATCCATCGATGTACAACCTAACCTGTTTTTTTATGGTTAACTTATATCGCTGGTAATCATTGACGAAACGCGCACAAAAAACCGACTCGTGGTCATTAGGAATAACAAACAAAAAATCACTCACCTCAACCGTCGTCGCTTCTCATTGAGATTCACTTCATAGCCAACGTGCGGCGGTTGCATACCGTTCGTCGTGTTTTGCGGGAACTCATCCTTGGCTTCGTTCTCTTCCAGCCCATCTTCACCGACGAGAAAATTAGGCCTCTCACCGTTATCTCCTTCGCCCTTCGAATCCATTCCGTTCTCGGTGACGATATTATTCTCGTTCACAGAGTCCAAGCTCGAATTGGTGGAATGATCCGAAGCGCAGTGGTTGTTGAGGTTTTCTCTACACGATCCCTTATCCTCGTAGATGTGATTGGCATTGGAAAATGAAACACGTTTTATCTGCTGCGCAACGGCATCGATCGCGACCTCGGTTTCGACGTTACCGTTGGTGATACCGTGCTGGCTACTACTGTTGACGACAGGCGGTTCAGTATCGCAGCCCTCTGCTGCCGGTTCACCTGTAAAATAAGAACGGTCAATAAGTCATTAGTCTCAACAACATTTTAATTAAATTGTAGGAGTAAGAACATAACATAAACTCATACACGTATTACCTCGATATAACGTAACTGTCACTTTTTACTTTCGTCGTCAATTTCTCACAAATAACAACTCAATCATACAAATCAACATTACCAATAGATGAAGGATTGTCCCATCTATCCGATGGTGTTGTTACTTTATGTGATTGAATGGTCGTTTCTCGAGAAATCGTTGATGGGAGTGAAAAGTGAAAATAACGTTGTATCGAGGTATAACTGTACTAATATTACAGAGAGGATCACAAAAGAAAATTAAGAGATAGTAACAGCTGGGTTAGAATTACGTACTATCGAAAGATGGACTATTCCGCCTGTCCTTCGAGTTATTGGAGAGCGCGGAAAATTTGGATGGCAAATCGTCGGATGCGTTACTGGTGCTAGTGGACCACCATTTTTGAAGGAATATGTAGACAAATAAAACAACACCAGTAAGCATCAGGGTAATCATTTGGATGATTGTGTGGTTAGTGACTATTCACGTCTATTTCATCATTGATAAGTGCTTGAACCTGATGGAGACGAGAAGAAAATTACAATTAACCATTGATGCTTACACAATGTGATGCAATTTGGATGTAACCGAATCGAACATAACTTGAAGAAAACAAACTGGGATGAACATATTTTGCATTCTAGTTAGAAAGGGGTCAACGGCGATTAAATACCACACATTTTATCGATTTTCAAATTCGTATTCTGTACTTCACAGTTTAAACGAAACTCACTTATATGATATCACGTACGTTACCAGTTGCACTTTCGTTCAACAGAATTAACTACACACAGTAAACAATCTGCGACACAACCTCGGCGGTGGTTCAACTCCAAATGAGTTCAGTTCAGTGTATATTATTACTGAATTGAATATTCACAGCAGTGTTACACCGATTCACGGTAAAAGTAGCGTTCTCATTTAAAGTGAGTGTAAGGTTTAATCGAGCCAGAAGGTAATCATTATCAGGCCCGGTCACAGGCAGAGTGCAATCTGTCGGAGATGTCGAATGCCTGTTTTGTTACCTGATGCAAAAAGTAAGGGCATTCAGTCTGGAAGCAGTGAAATCCTACGTAAAAAGCTGCCTTTCTGAGCTGATAGCGCGTCTATACCTCAGTTCATGTTTATCACTATCACTTTAAAAACAATCCACCGAATGGCAACAACGACGATGCGCATCGATGAGGAAGAAAACACCCTGTCCCGGGCAAGATTATGGGAAGCCTACGAGATGTTGTGTAATCAGAGGAGGAAAGTCAAACGATTCAGGACAAATCAAGGTTGCCCAGGGCGAAATGTGATGTGATTACAAAGTCATCCGCTTAGCACTGGTTTGACATTTGTGTTCTTTCGTGGAAAGAGTGGGGGTTGATGTCAGTAATTGCGATAGGCATTAAGACGACCAGCGTGATGTTGATTGAGCTGCTAAAATATTGCTAATATTGGTATAGGGATGGAATATTGTTACGTTATTATAAATATGTGACCATGATTCTATTGACAGAAACACACTGTATGCCAACTCCAAGTGTCAGTTTTGCATGAATAGAAAAGCGTTTGTTAATGAATCGATTACTGAATATATTTTTTCATAGATGATTAGATGAACATAGATGTTATATATAAATCTCGTTCACCGTTGCAAAAGAGGTGGCGTACATCGATCGATCTTGTTTTTGGATAACATAAGTACCCGTGTAAAAAAGAACCATAGAGGTACACTGAAGTGTATTGTAACCATAAAATATAATTTATTGCACTTAAAATATTGTGCACAACGATAAAGTAATCATCGAATTTATCGTTTCTACAATAGAATCTTTGGTAAATGGGGAAATCTGCAATAGAACAAAGGATGGTTATCTATCTTAAACTGACAAAAAATCACTTTTCTCGGAGAAACTTGAGCCATTAACCATTAATCTTATTGTAGTTCAATGAATGAAGTTAATATCTAGCAGTGGCGTCACCCTAACCTCAATTTACCTGTTCAAAAACTACCAAAATGGTTACAAATAAAAAATGTTGCTTTAAATGGATACAAATCAGTGAAACTAGAATACCCTGGTGCATTTTGGAACCGATTTGAATATAAATATGGATCAACTTTTTGGCTCAGCTCTGGTACTATCTTCATAGCAAATCAAAACAAACATTGTGTAGTACTAGAATTTCGACTAGAATGGGATACGTTAATCGATTTGCTTGTGACCATTAGGCTAGTCAAGTAGTGAGCCAATTTAAAATCGTTAGTTTCCACCGGTTGGTATTACTCCATCACTAATGAGAAATGATGAAGTATTCGTTTTTGATACATTTGTTATTCTAACAAACTAACTAACCAACTAACTAATTTTTTCCTTGTTTCAAGATCATCCTCGGTTCAGGCAACCCAAGGACTTATCACAATCAACAAGGCATAAAAAGTAACAAGGACTAAGATGTGTTCCTTTGATTACTGAAAAATCCTGTTCCCTTAGTGTGAAGTAGTCAAGACTAGGCATCGGTGGTAGATCTTACATCCCGTAACGTACCACGAAAAGGTGATCTACCCACGTTACGGGGCATAATGCTGCATAGGAACACCATTCATAGTTTCATGAGTGAGTTAGCATTGAAAATATTCAAAGTGTTTTTTATGTTACTTCATACGCGAAGTTAGCGATTTTCAGAGTTGGTTGGAAATGCTAACATGAAGCTTTAGTGTGATAATTTATTAGCTAGAGAATGATCTTTAGAAGAGGGTAGGTGGATAGTTCCGTTAGAGTACGGCAGTATTAAAATTGAATAGAAGTTGAAAATGAGCAAAGAGCCATTTTTTTTTTTCCTTTGGTTTGTTTTTTCCGTCGATCTTGTTTTCCGTGCTGAGCACCAATGCTACCGACGTGCCAGGAAGGCAGCTCCCACACCTGGACCCTACCTATCGACCCATCAACTCATGAACCGGGGACCAACGGCTTTACTTCCCATCCGAAGGAAGGCGTGATCAGAGATGTTATGCCTCAGAACATCCCGGCGGCGCCGACTGGGATTGAACCCAGGCCTGCTGGGGTGAGAGGTAATCACGCTTACCACTACACCACCGGCGCCGTTCAAAGAGCCATTAATGCGACAGTTTTTGAAGTCAGACGCACATCTTTTGCCTAACCCGTCTTCAAGTCTACAGGCTGAAGACATACTTCAAGTCTCCGCGTACATCGTACGGGTTAGGCAAAAGATGTGCGTCTGACTTCAAAAACTGTCGCATTAATGGCTCTTTGCTCATTTTCAACTTCTATTCAATTTTCATACTGCCGTACTCTAACGGAACTATCCTCCTACCCTTTTCAGACCTTTTTCTAGTCAATAAATTATCACACTAAAGCTTCATGTTAGCATTTCCAACCAACTCCATTGAAAATATGTTTATTTTCAAAATTATTGGAGGTGGCATTCATGCCCCACCCGACCCTATACCATACTGACTGTAATGCCTCGAACAGTGCGAAAACCTTGGCGTTCCCCAAGGGAGTAATCTGCAGAGGGCTATAATTGAGGCACAATTTGAAACATTCATGTTGATGGAATATCCAAGCAAACTGTTAATGTTGCCACTGTAACAAAACGTCAAATCCCATATGTACCAGAATGTCAAAATCGAAGACACGTTGGATTCAAACTGAGGCTCTGTTCCATTTGGTGAATTACCACTTAAATTTGACACTTCGAAAATAAATTATAATGTTCGAAAATCCTTTTGTCGTTGATCTTCCGATTTCCAAAAAGGTGTTTGTCATAATTGATTCCTGGTCTGTCAGAAATAAGTCTGGCGCAAAAGCAGGTTTATTTAAAAAAAATGTTTAATCAAAGTAATCCTTGGAAGACCGATTGGAAGTTTTTTTTTATCTTAATAAACATAAAAATCACCAGGAACACCACTAAAGGAGAGTTTCTTTGGACTTCCCTTTGTAGACTTCGCATGTGCGAATGTGAAATTTTAGTAGAATTTAAAGAATCCTGTCGAAATTCTCAGGATTGCCTTATAAAGTGATTTCATTCTGAACGGCAAACACCCAACGCTAGCTTACTAAGAATTACACATAGTTTTTGTAGCTAGCTTATGTGAACAAATTTTCAATTCAGAACAAGGGGATTTTAGGTTCGTAATCTTGTTAACTTAAGGTAAGATTGATAGAATCCAGAAATGGCCGTTGGATGGCTGATTTGCCTTGTAAAATCAGCCATGGTAAGGGCCATTTGTTTGTGGATTCAATCATTCTTGTCCAGGGGATAAAAATATCTTTATCATCACAAATCATAATGGGTGATCAGTAACGGCAAGCAACAATGATGTAATATATAGGGGAAATAGCTCTAATGTTGGCCTATGGATCTAAGATTGGGCCCATCGCTAAAACTCTGCTATTCATCAATTTTATCTAGATGAACGCGTCATTGGGACGGTACTAATGGATATTTTTGGTCGCTATTGAAAATTGAGTCGATTGCTGAATGTATGTATGGGCCCAAATAAGGGGCATTTAGGCCGACATTACATTACATCGATTTCCCCTATATTTGCAAGTTTTTGTACAACATACACGGTTGATTGGAACGTTGAAATTACATAACAAAAGTTTCCCCATTTACATGTATTACCAACCGCGTGTGTTGTAAACAAACTTGCAAGCAATTTTATCTTTTTCCTTCCATCGTTCCGATCAAGCTATGTGGCAGAGAGAGAGAGAGAGAGTGTGTCATGACCAGGGATGGAAAATCATTTACATGCATTTCGTGCATTCATTTACATTGCTTTGCCTCTAACTTTTTTCATCAACAGAATACCGTAAAATGATATATGAAGCTTTTGTAGCTTTTAATATTAACTACAACTTTTGATAACTAACTAAAATATGAATCTCTTCTGCATGACGAACTAGAGCTGGCAGAACATGTTATTGTTTTTCAGTGAATGCAATTTACATTCACTGAAAAACAATGGTGGGTTCTTATCGCTCTGATTCATCATGTATAAGAGATACTGATTCGGGTTGTTTACAAAACATGTAGCTAATAAAAAAAAAGCTTAAAACATTATTTTACGGAATTCTGTTGATGAAAAAAGTTAGGGGCAAATGAATGTAAATGAATGCACGAAATGAATGTAAATGCTTTTCCATCCCTGGCCATGACAATCGTTGCAAGCAATTTTTCAATATTGTTGCTTCCTCTTGTTGATACTCGGATCTTATCCTTAAGCAGCGTCCACGCTTCTATGTTCATTTTCTCAGCGTGGGTTAAATTGTTTACCTCTAAAATGAATACCTGTTACCCACATTCATCAGGGTCCTCTGTAACGTATTTTTAAGTTACTCGAATATCTTTGTGTTTGTGAATAACAGTTGCTCATTTGTTCGTTAAAACCGTTACGCACCGTTGAGTGTGTGCACTTTTCGGCAGAATTTTTGAGAACCAACCGAGTAATACCGTGCATTTACTGACTAGGCTATCTGAGGCCAGACTTTTTGGGTGCACATC